TCTTCTAGGTAAAATGCTTGTTTGCAACGGCATCTTTAGTTTTTTATGGTATTACTCTTAATTCCTACCACTCAAGATCCATTTTAGACACTTTTTTCTTAATGTTGTATCCACAGATAAGATGCTAACAGTGTTTCCCTTAAAGAGCGTGCTGAAAGGTTCACAGTTATAGTTAAAACCTGTATTAATCATCACAACCTTACAGAAAACAGAAGTATTTTATGTAGTAAAGTGTTACACCTGACTAAATGTGGCACACAAGTGATGTTGCCAAGAATATTTTGAAGAAATGCTGCTTAGCTGTTTTCATCTAGAACTATTGGAATCAGAGACTGTTTTCCCATGTTTCATAAGAAATTCCATTGTCTGTGTCACTACTGAAAGATATGCTGTAAGATCAGTAGGACTGTTTATTCATCTTTGGCTTTATCATATCCAGGTAGTAGCTTTCCCAAGCAAATAGGAGCATGGCAAGTTTTCTTTTTGGGGAGGGGAGGGAATAGTGAATATTATTTTCACAAGAAAACCTTCTGCTTCACTGCCTGAAACAATGCTGGTCAGGAGTTCTCAGCACTGAAATCAATGGATTGAGTGGGGCCCATGTTAACCTGAGCAGTAGTTCCTGCCCAAAGATCTTCAGTGGTGTTGGCAAGATGGTCTGACTTGAAAGGTCTTTGAGGGTAAGGAGCTGTAAATCTAGTGACCATCGTGTAGTCTGCAGGCAAGCCTTTCGTTCCCATGTTTCTGTGTACTGCCCAGGTCATCAGAACAGTGGTATCGCCTCGGCTTCGGGCACGCTCATGGATGGTTTGTGACAGATTATTTCTTATTGCTACTGAAAGTCCTTCTTGCTTGTTGGTTTTCAAGGTTAAATAAAACCCCAAATTTCATGAAAAGTTTTCTTAAGACTTTTGTCCAAAGGTTGTTTTAATTGCTGTATGTTTTTTCACACTAGAATTTCCATCACTTAACACAGTATAGTTCAGTAGAACTCTTTTTTTTGCTAAGGTGCAGTGAAACCAGTTGAGTACCTTACATTACATATTATGCTGATTTTTGTCCTATGATTAAAATGGCAGTGTCTCTGTTACAAGGTCAAGTGTGCATGAACATTTCTGAAGGCAGGAAGTGTGACATTGGAATATCCAAGCAGAGACTTACAGTATTCTTATAGTATTCTGTGGCGGGGAAGGTTCAGGTTCAGTGTTTCTCAGCTAAAAGTACTTTGTCTTTTATCTATGCATAAAAAGAGGAGCAACGCAGTTGTATTTTTGGCATCCAATTTTACAGGTCAAAACACTTTAACAAGTAAGCAGTACTGTTTGTGTGGAAATTCACCTGAGATTTTCTCCAAGCTTAGACTGCAGACTTGTTATGCTGTTCCCAAAGGTTTTACACAGAACATTGCAACTCGGTTAGGCAAACACTTTTACTTTCAGTTATTTTTGTTTCTGGACAGCACTGGGTTGTTTCATACAGAAAGAAATTGGGTAGGGAGCTTCTGAAGACAAGTTATGGTCATGAAATATTAAAGACAGGATTTTTAATAGCTGTCGTGCTGCGAACTGGGATACAAGTTGAAGTATTTGTTTGTTTGGATATGTCTGGTCCAGAAAGTTAAGAAATTGAAATAGCAAACTAACTTCAATTTCCACTTTGTATTTCCAGTTCTCTGCATTGTTTGTGTAGGTGAATAAATGCAGTATAGATCATTAAATAATAGAAGTTTAATTTTGCTCGGGTAGATCTTTCAAACTTTCTGGCCTTCTGGGATCTCTTTATGAGTGTACAGAAAAGCAGGAAACCCCTCAGTTTCCAGGCTTTGAAAAATCATGGAACTTAATGGTTATGAATAAAGATATAAAAAATTTACTAAACAGCACTGGATACTGTCCAAAAAAAACCCCCAAACCAACCAAACAAGAAACACCAACCCCTCAAAAACCCCTCACCTAGCAAAAAAAACCCAACAAAACCGCATACCCCCAAAAACCCCAAACCAAAGACAGATAAATGTCAGGCAGTTTGAGGCAAGGATTTAATCCAGAAGGGTGTGTTCCTCCTCCTTTCCCCAAGCGTCCTCCTTTTTGGTAACATGCTCTCATTTCCCTCATTGGCAGCCCATTGTAGTGTACTTTAGTTTTATGCCAGTTGTGCTGGGTTACGCATTACAGGTTGCAGTGCAAACTGTTATTTGAGTATAAATACGTAATAATCGAACTAACATTTTTGGTTTTATTATTGATACTTTTCAGACTCATTGTTTTCTCAAGAAGCTGAAAATTTCTGTTATTGATTAACTAACAGCATCAAATCCTGGTATCCCAATTTGGCTGATTTGAATTCATTTTGAGAGTTCAATCACCAAAATAATTTTAATGTCAGTACTGGACTAAGTCTACAGAATCTCTTTCATATTTTGATATCAAATAGTCAAGGAACAAATGGAAAAGCTTATGCAAGGTAGCTGAGTGAAATACCATAAGGCTAGCCTTCTGCTGAGATATTTCTGGTAAAATATACTTTACATAATATGGTTTTTTTAAAAAAAACAAAACAAAAAACAAACAAACAAAAAAAAAAAAAACAAAAAAACCAATAAAAAAAACACCCACCAAAACTTACTCACCTAACAGCCTGATTAATAGAGTTTATAAATGCTGTTATGGTCATGATTATTAGCGAATTCTACTCTTACTAAAATTTTTGTAAAAATGAGATCTTTTTTAAGAGATCAGATGATTCAGATACAGGTTGTACTTTGAAAAAATCTTTTGGGACAATGTATTTCTGTGTCACTAATGGGTTTTTGATTGCTTCAGCAGACTATTCCTGTTGGTCACTGTGCAAAAAACAAGAAAACTCTGGGTTTTTTTTAACTCTTGCCTATTATTTAAAAAAAAGCTTGTCGTGGCTTTTCAGTTTTCTTTGATCCTGAAAAAGCCTCTGTGATCTCTGAAAGCATTTAATTGTGATTAGATAGCATCTGAGACCATACGTACTGAAGGTCTATAATTAAGTTTTGAGTTTGGTCTTCAGGAAAAATTGATTCACTCTGAAATAAAGGACAATAAACTTAATGTATGTTCTTTAGGCAAGGAAAACAAGCACTGTATAGAAAATACTAGTTTAGAAAGCATTAAATAAAAGCTTAATTGCGGGTGAACTTTTGCGGTTTGAATTGAGTAAATTTTTTACCTGTGGACACAGCTGACTACAAGCCTGTATTTCTGTTTTGAATGAACATTTCAGTATGCTTTAGAGGCTCAGAAATTGCTAGAGCAGAAAATGTTATTCATCATTAGCATGTTGTTTTATTTTTTGACTGATTGATACAAAGACTTATCTTTTTCTCAGGCATTTGCTCCAAGATATCACAGCTATGCATTTGCTCTGACTTTTTTTTCTTCAAGTGCATGTGATAGATTCAGTATGAGAAAGAGAGGAGAAGGGAGCTAGTAGCACCTGGCTTTTTTTACAATGCAGAATTTTGTTTCTGGTTTATCCTGGCCATTTGATGTTATACTTTAAATGGGAATTTGCACACAACTGTACAAGTAAAATGGTCTCTTAATTTTCAATTCATTCTAGCTCAAAATCTAATCATATTGGTTAGAAATTTCTGCTCATACAGAGTCATGGATAACAATGCAGTACTTTGATCTTTTTCATGTTTTGCTTGATTTGCTGAACAATTGTTAACGATTTAGTAGTTCAAGACCAAGCTAAACTTACATGATATGAGCAGGTTATTCAACTGAAATATTAAATGAAGCCGATAGATGTGTGTTTACAGTTACTTTGTAGAACTAGCTGTTTTACTGCTGTTGTTTTCTCCCTGCCTATACAAGCACTGTTAAACCTCACTTTGGTCTTGGTTCAATTTTTAGAGGATTGTTTTTGCTACCTTTTCAAAACAGCAGAAGGCAAAAATTAAAAAAAAAGATTTGAAGATGTCTATAGGGAAATGGCAAGACTCAATTTTCTTAAATAAAACGAATGTTGGAAAAGTTAATTTGATTCACTTGGGAAAATCATTCCTGAAGGCTTACATAGCGAGAAAAATACAAGCAAGGCTAATAATTCTATAATGCCATGAGGTAATACAGTGTTGGTAATGTTCTATAAATAACTGATGCATAAACACCGTAAATAATTTGTCATATATTTCAGCCTTGTTTTTTTTCTGTGATTTGATCATTGTTTTTCTTTGTGATTCTTAGGTGCTGCAGTAGCTGGAATTTACAGAGTAGCAGGAAAGAATATGGCTCCCTTAGAAGCTCTTGTTTTTGGTGTTGGACAGACAGTACTGACATTAATTATCTCATTTTCAAGAATTCTTGCAACGCTTTGAGATTTATGCAGAAGGGGAAAAAGAAAAATCAACTAGTTGAAAGAAATCTTTAATCTGAAGAGAAGCTTCCTGAAAGTGGAATTCATCAGCTTACGAACTTGAATTCTAGTGGGAGAGAAAGGAAACTATGTGGAACCTGCACTACCAATCTAGAGGTTCAGCCAAATGGACAGACTGTCCTCTAGTGCCCGAACTGTTGTACTCCTGCACTGCGCCTTATGTGCCTCCAGCGTAGGTGAGGTGCCATCCATCTGTGCAAAGTTGGGATAAAGCACCTTGAATAGCTGCCAGTCAGGTGAACGCCTGATGATGGGATCATTGCTCTTAACAGTGTTGTAATAAAATAAAGGGACGCTCCTGAAAATTGCTGCTTGGGCCAAACTTGGAGTTTAACTCTCACCGTTGGTTGGGTAAGCTTTGAAATTGTAATTCCAGAAGAATGCTGTGGACGTACACTCTATTTGAATTCAGGTAAAATAGCAAGAAAACAGACTTTTCCATCAGCAGAATCTCTTTGAATGCTGAATATTCTTATTCAGCATTCAAACCAACTGTCAGGTCTGTTTTGAAGCGTAGATGAATATTGATGGGCTCTAAGAACCGCAGCTTTAGCAACCCTGATGTGATTAGCACTATGTGTAGAATGGCTGGTGGCAGATTTCTGAAGCTCAGCAGGTCATTTCTTCATGGTTTTAGCTTGTCAGAAATCAGTTGCTTAAAGAGACTGTATGAGGGTTACGAAGTACAATCTGTTGTGTATGCACAAACAAATCTTGAATCAATGCTTTCATTGAAATTATTTTGTCTTAAGCACACAGATGGTTACCAGCCCTTCTGAAAACCTCAGAAAAGCCACTTGTTGCAAATAAGCTCCCTATATTTATTTAAGCACTGATAGGACTCTTAAACCCTACATGAGTTCTTTAAAAAACACACAAATATGTAACAGACTGAGAGAGTTACGCTTATCACAAAAATGGTGTAAGGGATAAAAAAAAAAATGATATAATGTTTCTTCACTGAACAAAAATGTTGAGTTCAATAAAATAGCTACTATACTCCAAAAGTTTGGAAGTGGGGCAGCATTAATGTATTTGCTACCTGTTTTTGAGCACTTTGTATTTTTGGAAAGGTTAAGATACCTGGAACTTTCGAATACTCAGCTTTCAGTAGAGTTTGTGCTTTTCTAGTTTAAAAAGGACAGTGTTGTGCATGTGAAATGTCTTAAATGTGAATGTTTTGGAGTGAATAGAAGTTTTAAGTCTAGTTACTGATTAATTATGAAATGCAAAATTTAAAGGGCACCAAGTTCTGTGTGAGGAATAAGGAATTTTTTACATGTTTCCTCAACTGAATTCTTTTCAGCAGCCACCTTTTAATGCTGAGAGGAAGAATAAATTGCTCAAAGGTTTTGCTGTTAAGATGTCAAAAAGAATTTCTGGACTGTTGAAACCACTGGCACCTCCTGCAGAAATAAAACAATATGGTTAAAATATAACTCACAATCCAGCCGTATTGCTCAGTGCTTCAAAATATTGTAATGGATTAACCCGTCTGCCTTTATTTTACTCTACAAACTGTTATGTTTGTTTTATTTTTTTTTTAAATGCTAAGGATGCTAAAATTGTTTTTTTGTAAAAGTATTTAAGTATTGTTCGGAAAATGAATTGCTAAGGATGCTAAAATTGTTTTGTTTTGCTGTAAAAGTATTTAAGTATTGTTCGGAAAATGTACAAAGTTACACACTTTTCAGGGAACAAGGTAAAATATAGGTTTATAAACCTTTTCAGTGTTACATTTTGGCCTTTGATTAAGATGTGGCTGAATACAGATATTCTCGTTATTTTGAATGTCTTAGTAAACTTATTTATTTTTCATGGTTAGAGTTTTTTGTCTGCTGATACTTTTTGGCTTAACAATCGTTGCACTTTAGTAGACAATGAAATTATTACATCTGTAAAAGGCAATTTAAACTTCTCCCCATTGTCTTAAATTATGACAACTGTTTTCAGGTATTTAAGTCAAATTGAATAATAAAATAGTTGAAGATATTTCTCCTAATGTGCCTTGTTACATATATTTTTAGGGGAGAGGATTAAAAAAAATAATAAATTACTATATCTTCGTTCTTGTTCTATTTTTGCTACTTCTAATTAATTTGGTTATTTGATATCAAGTCTTGCTTGACAGACATTAAAACATTGACCTGTTTGACAACCTGGAAATGCTCGTCTGGATCAAAACCAACTGTTTCATGAAGCGCTGTATTCAGTAATTTAGATTGTCTCTTGACTTTACCTCACACTAAAACTCCTTCCAAGTTTCCAAATTTCCTTGAGTATCTCAATTCTCATTTATTGTACGAGGCTATTATGGTACCACTGATCAATGACTTGCTGTCTTTCATGGAGTTAAACTCCAACAGACTACTACTAACCTACGAAATGCATATACAAAATTTTTATTGATGAACTTAATTCTTCATTTTAATTGCAGTGCCAATGAAATTGTTGCCATCGTAACTTTCCTCCTTTGACAAGGAGGCATGTTGCAGCCAGAAAGTTACCTTCCTCCAAATGATTTTTATTGCACAGATCATTGTAATCACGTGTGAAACGTTGTTAGATGCTTAGTTGTCTCTGCTTTACACGGCGTTATTGCCTGGCAGCAATGAATAGGCAGACAACATAATGCCTAAGTGGCTTAACAGAGACAAGTTATGTGTTTGATAGAAAATTGTTTTTAACTATTGCTTGTGAGGGATATATGAGGACAAAGAGTTTGTCTACGAAGTATTGTTTGATCATAGCATGAATTTACTGCATAGTAACTCCAGCAGTGAAAGGAAGTGTGAGTAAGTGGTCTTATGTCTGTGAAACTTTGAAATCTCATTCTGCATCCTTAGGAATAGCATTGTTAAACATAAGGTGCTCTAGTCAAAGAGCAGTGTATGCATATTTACATAAATTGTGTGTGTGTATATATGTATGAATGATGTTTTTGGGTGTGTTCTGTTACCTCACACACACTAACAATAAAAATAACTTGTCCAAGAAAAAGAAAATTACTTAAGATAAGATATATTTGTAGCCAAATAGCAAGAGAAAAAAAAAAGGTTGTCTTGTGTGTGAATGGCACTGATGGTACTTTGGTTCCCTTTGGACAATACAGTGTTGTGCAGATGTCCACACAGGATCTTTTAATGCTGTCTTCAAATAGCTCTGCCTGTCTCCGCGTTGTATCACTAGGCATGTTCTGTGCCTTGTTAATGATTAATTTCTAGTAAAGAACAAATAATACATCAACACAATTTAATCTTTGGAGGAGGGGGGAATACTGAATCTACTATCTAATGTGAAGAAGCTCCTGCTGCTATGTTAAAAGCTGCTGCTGTTAAAGATTTAAACATTCCACACACTTCCAATTTATCAGTATGATCAGAAAGTTTTGACTCAGAAACCCCAGCTATATTGCAGGTCAAAATTCTTCTACATAATTATTGTCTTTCATTTTATGGGTAATTCTGAGTTTATGAAACTAATCTGTGTACCATGACAAGTGATATAATTTGAAGTTTGCTGTTGACAGTTTGTGGGTTTTTTTAAGAAACCAATAATTTAACCAGATTTGAACATTCAACATGGACCAAAGAGAGTAGTGCTGATTTTGTGTAATGTAGCTTTCTATTTTTGAAGTACACTGGTTTTATTACTCTAAAGGAAGAAGTAGTATTCCCTCTTCGACATATTGCACATTGATATTTATTTTGGTTATGATTTCTATTTGAATTCTGTTGGTGAGGAGACATATGTAATGTCATTTGAGTGGAAGCTGTAACGGAGTCTGACCCCTAATAACTGTAAGAACTGATTTTATTGTTATTTTCTGTTTTAATTTATGTATTGCACGCACTAAGCGTATTCTAATAATGCCTTTCCTGCATTAAATCTGAGTTTTGTATCATGAGCATACTAAGATGCATGGTTTTGTACCTAGCCATTTGACATCACACACGTGTAAGTCCACATAAGCGATTAGTTTTCTTCTTCAGACACAATATTCCTGGGCATAATGAAGAGTGGATGAATCAGGGCCAACAAAAAGAAAGTACGCGACTCTAGCAAGGCTTAGAAAAACAATTGTGAATATGAGAACTTTTTCAGTTACTCGTAATGAAGAGTGGATGAATCATTTAGGGCCAACAAAAAGAAAGTATGCGACTCTAGCAAGGCTTAAAAAAAAAAATTGTGAATATGAGAACTTTTTCAGTTACTCTTCTGTTTCTGGAAATATGCTTTTTCATCATATGTGTATTTCAGTTAAGGGGGAAAAATGTGAAGATTAGTTAGGATGACAACTGCAACCTAATCTAATTCCAAGCAATTTGAGATAAAATGAAGTTCTAAATTTTGTTCATAAATTATAATTGAGTGAGCTATATAGAGGGAGATATACATATATGGTAGAATATAACTTTGAGTGCTACCAAAATTTAGCATGTGACTGCATCAGCATATTGACAGAATAGCTTTTGAATTATTTTTTTTTTTTAACCTATAGACTGGGGGCAGCTCAAGGTGAAAAGACTGTTTACATCCTCAACTGTTGCTTCAGAAGGAATGTGTTCTTTGTGCACAGGTGAATCCAACACAGCTAAAAACCCAGTATTGGGTTAAAAGTCAAATTTCTGGTTGCACCTTGGTGGTACCACCATAACCTTTAAGGTCAGTGTGAAAAGTATTCTGCAGTCTGTTTCAGCAATGAAATCTTCAGCTGGGCTGCACTAGTTTGTGTACTTAACTGCACATCCTTTGGTGGAAATGAAGTTGTCGTAGAAGGTAGACTTTAACCTGAGTGTGTACTCTTTGATACCTCATGAGAACGATTGTGCCCTGGCAGCATGCTGTTTCCCACGCTTGTGCCTAGAGTTGCACTTGAAATCAGTTTCTGCATGAAGTTTAAATGTAATCACAAAAGTATCTCAAAGTCCACAAAGATAT